CATCTGAAGCTTAGCACCAGCTGCCTGGGGCCTGGCCCTTGCAGACTTGTGATGTGTGACCTGTAGACCTCAATTTACCAAAATCCAGGAATATTATTATGGCACACTGAACAACAGACCCCTATCCCCACAGAGGCTTCCTGGATGCACATTGGGCCCCAGGGTTCCCCAGGAGACCCCAGCCCCCGTGTAGCCCATCAGCCAGAGCACTCACCCCCATTATCACACACAGCTGTTTCTCCATCCCACATGCCGTTGGGGCGACACTGACGCACAGGCGAGCCCCGCAATATGAAGCCATCCTCACACTCGAAGCTCACATTGCCACCCACGGGGTAGGACCCCAGCCGTGGGGTATAAATGCCATTCTCAAAGGAGACAGGGGCTGGACAGCGCACAGCTGGAGAGAGAGGAAGTGGGTGGGGAAAATAGGGCTGGATGGATAACACCTGGGCTGGGGATTAAGCAGGTGATTTTATACCAGAATGCATGGGAATGGCCAACTGGCTGTCAAAACACTGATATATTAGGTTGCAGCATGTGAAATTACTGTTTTTGGCAACTCATTGAATATTGCCAATTTCACAGAGTCTAAGTGAATTGATTGATAAATAACCACTTCCCTCAGCCCCCTGAGGGCCATGGCCTCCCCAGACACTCCCCTTGGGATCCTCAGATGTCTAGAGGACTCCAGGACCATTCAGCCTCCATTCAGAATGGTCACTACTAGACAGTCAGTTGTACATAAAAAGTCATCCCTGGCTTTAGCACCTCACAGTCTCCATCAAAATCTGTTCCCAATTCCTTGCTACTGGCCATTGATGTTTTCTGGATATTTTGAAAAGCCCTCTGCAAAAGCAACTTTGCCATCTAGTCAGGTTAAGTCCCACCCTGAGCAACTCCGAAACAAAAGTTCTGGGGTGGCCCCTGGTGTAGCACCCTGAGCAAAGCCCACAGGGAGCCTCACGTTTGCAGACCGCCTTAGTCAGAGACCGGGTGGCTCTTGGGGTCTGCCACTGTCCGCTGCTCTTGCACAGCCGTGATGTTGGGGATGGGTACAGGCCCTGGGGACAGGAGTAGATGAGAAGGCTCCCAGGGGCCCAGCCATGGCTGAGGGTGAAGGTGCCACCAGAGATATTCACGTTCTGAGGGCAGGAGGTAGCCAAGTCTGCCGGACCTGGAGGCGTGGGAACAAGGAGACAGCAATGGAGAAAGAAGGAAGACACAGATGAGAAAAGGAAAGCAAAAGAGACTCTGTTTCACACGTGGGAACTCAAGCTGGGAGCACCAGCCTCACACACAGGACCCTGAGGTTCCCCCTTCCCTGCCTCCTACCTGGGTACAGGAACAGCAGGCAAAAAAGAACCATCAGTGGGTCCATGGTGTCCTCCCTAGGGACAGCGAGAGGCAGAGAGCCGCGGGAGGGAAAAGGTCATCTGACTTCCCGAAAACCAGAGCTGGCTCAGCAGCTGCTTCATTGCTGCCAGAGAAGAAAACCCAGGGAGTGGCAAGGGGGATGGTCTTCTGTTAGGGAAATAATAAGCAGGGATTGGGGACTGAGCTGAAGGGTGGAACCTTTGCCCTGTCTCCCTGATGCTAATATATCTATAGAGTCAATAGATCTCCCCCACAGGCTTTGTGTACTGCCCCCATGCTCCACCCACCCATGTGTGCACATGTGCACCAGACACGCATGCTCACAAACACGCAGGCAAACACATATTTGCCCTCGTGTGTGCACACATGCACCTTGCTCTTGTGTGAATAGTCTAAAGCACACAATCCCACAAACCATCCAAAATATTGCAAAATATTTTATTTAAGTAAAGTTTTAGTGTTATTTTGGGTTTTACCAAGTGGGTTTTACTTTCTGAGAGCCTAGAACAGTTCTGTCTTCTTGAACATAAATGTCCAAGGAGGGGGTGAAACTAATTTTTTTAGAACTTCTTGATAAATAGGAAGATTGACAAGACTTTTATTCCCTACAGTCCTTCCCCAGAGAGAACCTGGGGGGGGGGGGAAATGAAATCAACACTTAGTTTTGGAGACAGGAAAAATGTTTACAACATTTTTACGGAAAGTCTAGTAGATGAAATTCCCAGCTGGCAAAGTAAATACATTTGGGGTTGGTTACTCAAAGGAATGAAAGTTTTGGGGGTGCTGGGATGTGCCTTTAAATCATAACCTACACTTGTATGAAATGCAGGAAGCAAAGAAACTTGAGGCTAGTGTGTTAGTCTCCCTGACCCACAGAAGTCTTTTCAGTACCTTTTGAACAATGTAGGGTAAAAATAAATAAGATCAATTAAAAAAATGAAGATGAAACCTCTCTGAAGTGATCATTAAGTTCCTAAAAACCCTTTTGATTTACAAGTGAGTCCTTAGAGAACTGATTGAACCCAGAAGGTGGAGGTTGCAGTGAGTCAAGATTGTGCCACTGCACTCCAGCCTGGGCAACAGAGCAAGACTACATCTCAAAAAGAAAAATAAATAAATAAATAAGACCAGGCGTGGTGACTCACGCCTATAATCCCAGCACTTTGGGAGGCTGAGGCGGGTGGATCATGAGGTCAGGAGTTTGAGACCAGCCTGGCCAACATGGCAAAACCCTGTCTCTACTAAAAATACAAAAAAATTAGCTGGGTGTGGTGGCAGGCGCCTGTAATCCCAGCTACTTGGGAGGCTGAGGCAGGAGAATCACTTGAACCCGGGAGGCAGAGGCTGCAGTGAGCCGAGATCATGCCACTGCACTCCAGTCTGGGTGACAAGAGCAAGACTCTGTATCAAAAAACAAAAACAAAACAAAGAGTCCTCAGAAACAGATGTACACAAAGTGGGACTCCCCTTGGACAGGGCTGAGTGCGTGAAGATCGGGATACCCTGGTATTAGGGACTCCAAAGTGGCTGCTGTGGCAGAGCTGCTGGTGCCTCCCCTGCCTCTCAAATATCTTTTCTCCCTCCTTCCACAGTAAGAGATGGTTAGGGGGGACACACAGTCACCCAGCTAAAGACCATATTTCCTAGCTTCCCTTGCAGCTAGGTAACCAGGTGACTTGGCTCCAGCCAATGGAATGTTAGTAGAACTTATGTATGTAATTTCCAAGTTATGTCCCTAAAATAAAAAGGCAGTGTACCTTTTCTTTTCATGGAATGTAAACCTAGTGGAGATCCGTCTTCCACCAGGAGGATGAGGGCAACATGCTAGAGATGACAGAGCAAACAGACAGAGGAGCCTGGGTATCTGACACAGTGTTGATGTCATACCAGCCCTGCACAGCCACTTAGATTGTTACAAGAGAGAAATAAACTATCTTAAAGGTGGGGGGTACTTAAGGATGTTCACAAATATTGTGGCCTTGTCTTCTTTCAGTCACATGGTAGGATAGAATTTCCCCCAGCCACTTGTTTTAGCCAATAAGATGTGAGTACAAGTAATATATATCACTTCCTGATGGAAGCTCAATGCAGTCTTCACCCTGCTCTTCCCCTCTGTATAGTAATGTTTGAGATGGTGGCCGCTCCACCAGCCAAGATCCCTGGGTGATATCGAAAGCACAGTACCAGCCGGGCGCAGTGGCTCACACCTGTAATCCCAGCACTTTGGGAGGCCAAGGCAGGCGAATCACCTGAGTTCAGGAGTTGGGGACCAGCCTGACGAACATGGTAAAACCCCATCTCTACTAAAAATACAAAAATTAGCTGGGTGTGGTGGCATACACCTGTAATCCCAGCTGCTCAGGAGGCTGAGGCAGGAGAATCGCTTGAACCCGGGAGGCAGAGATTGCAGTGAACCGAGATCACGCCACTGCACTTCAGCCTGGGTGACACACGGAGACTCTGTCTCAAAAAAAAAAAAAGAAAGGCAATACCCAGCTGACTCTCAGTGGATAAGTAATATGACCAAAAAATAAACCTTTGTTATTTTAATTCATTGAATTTCTACTAATGCAGGGAAAAAAGTACCACCCAATGTGTAGGAAATTTAAAAATGATTTATTCTTTCTCATATTGGCCAGATGGTTCTTCTGCTGGTCTTCCATGCAGCGGCAGTCAGCGAGGGGCTGAGTTCAGTGGAGAGCAGGACAGCTGGCCCTTCCTCCTCAGGGTCTTTTATCCCTAGCCATCATAGCATGGCAGTCTCAGGGCAATTTCTGAGGAATCCAAAACATAAACTGCAAGGTCTCTTGAGGCCTAGCCCCAAAAGTCACATGACATCACTTCTGCCACATTCTATTTGTCAAAGCAAATCACAAAGTCAGCCCAGATTTAAGGCTGGGAGCCTAGAATTTACCTCTTGATAGGAGGAATGGCAAAGTCACACTGCAAAGGGGCAGGCACATCAGAATAGGAGAGATTGATGGCTATATTTCGTAAGCCCTCCTAGGGCAACAAATATTTCTAGGTTGTTGGTTACCAGAACATAATGAAGCCTAACCTGACTGAACATTCAAATCACTAAACTTTGGGTGCCTTTTAGAGCCATCAAACTAATATGTAACAGCTGCCTTCAAAAGAAAAGTCCTTTCTTTCAAGAGTTTCTCCCAGTATTTGTTGAGTTAAATCAATTTGGCACAGTGTAGCAGAATTCATTCTCTCTTTCTGCTTAAGTAATAAAACTCCCAAGTTTTCTGGGCCCATGGAGTATGTTCTTAAGGAGAAGTGTTTACTCTTCAATTTGTCTTCTCCCTTCCCACCATCTGGAATGTGGACGGAATGGTGGACTTTGGAACAGCCACCTAGATCACAAAATGGAAGTCACATGTGGATGATGATAAAGAAACAAATTAAAGAGGCCCTGCTCTCCAATCCTCTAGAGCTAATAGGATTGACCTGGACCACTTATGCTCAGACCAGTTAAGCTGCTGTTATTCTAGCTTGGTTATAACAAAGCCAGACCATGTCTTACTGATATACCTAGTGAGAAATCAATGTGAGAGCCAAAGGCAACACTCAGAGAAATGTGTTTATTAGGACACAAGTTAAACTTCTGTAATAAAGAGACCCTAAAATACAGTAACTCAAATAAGATAGAATTTTGCAGCACTTTCACATAAGAGCCTCGGGGTAGGCAGACAAGGCTGAGATGGCATGTGTGACCCTGGCTGGCAGAGCTGCTCATAAGCCTCCTTCAGGCCTCCAGGTTCCTTCCATCTGTGGTTCATGCCTTTGGAAACTGTCCTTGTCTGCATGGTTGAAACAGGGTCTCCATCAAGTCTGCCTCCCACCCTACTCTTCCACTCATATTCCACTGGCAAAAACTCAGTTACCGTCCACTGTCAGCTCTCCAGGAGGCCCAGTCGAATGTGGAAGGACCATGACCTGACCTGCAGGGCTAAAGACACAGACCTTTATTCCCCTCGGCGCTCCCAATTAGCTTTTCAGTAGACCCCACCAGATGAGGGCGATCTTGGCTTCTCTATTTCTTGTACCATTCAAAAGCCCAGCAAATGTAACCGTGTTTTCACTCCAGGTAGAGGGAAGGAGACGAATAATATCTGAAAAAACAGACGTGCCTCTCCTGCCAGCTTCTTCCATCTTGTCCAAATTTCTTCTTATCAATTCTAGGTTCTAATATCTGCTTCCAGGGGTACAATTCCAAAGAGAAAAAACCAATACCCCAATTCTGTACTTCATCCCCTAGTCAGAGTTGGGTTTTTATGTTTGTTTGTTTTGAGACGGAGTCTTGCTTTGTTGCCCAGGCTGGAGTGAAGCAGTACGATCTCGGCTCACTGCAACCTCCACCTCCTGGGTTCAAGGGATTCTCCTGCCTCAGCCTCCCGGGTAGCTGGGATTACAGGCATGTGCTACCATGCCCAGCTAATTTTTGCATTTTTAGTAGAGATGGGGTTTCACCATGTTGGCCAGGCTGGTCTCAAACTCCTGACCTCAGGTGATCCACCTGCCTCGGCCTCCCAAAGTGCTGGAATTACAGGTGTGAGCCACTGTGCCAGGCCCCCTAATCAGAGTTTAAAAATCAGAAATGATGCTGTGATGGCCTCTCAGGATGCCTTCTTCTCCCCTGGAGAGCTCAGCACCTTGCAGCTGAAAATTTCTGAGGAAACGTGGCAGATAGCACAAGCCGATCCCACTCTAGTGGCCAGTCTACTCCTTATCCAGTCTGGCCACTTGGACATGGACTTCACTGTCATCCTAGGATCTGCCACCCCTCAACCTTCTGTGGCAACTGCAGGTCAACCCCCAAATTGGAAAACTAGGCTGACTTGGCCTGGTTCACAGCCTGAACGTGTGACTTTAGCTGGGGATTCAGTATTGCTCTGCAAGCCTCTTGGTGGTTGTAGTGGATCTGTCCTTACCCCCCATATCCCTTGGGCCTTATCACTGGGGTGCTCCACTGACTTGCAGCTGCAGCATCTCTGTCTCTACCCAAGGACTGTTTTTGGTGTCCTGCACCATCTGTGCACAGAAAGCTGGAAATGACAGAGAATTAAAGTCTTCAACCAATGACTGATTGGTATAAACACCAGGCTCCCTCACCCTGGACCATGGGATAACTCTGCACTACTCCAGGGTTCCTGAGTGGGATTGGCCTCCACTCACCCACAACGGTAAATTTGCCCGATAACACACCCTCACGGACTGCCTTCCTTCTCTATCACCCTCCACTACTCATGTTTCCTGCGATCA